ATGACAAATATAAAAACTTCTGTTGGTAAGTGTACGTCTAACACACTCTGAACAACTGCAGGGAAAGACATCAAGCTGGAGGAAAGCCAACACAAACTTTAGCTGTAATTATTATTTTATGTCAGACTTTGGTCAAATGGTTAATTCAGGTATAATTGTATGCATATACACCCCCATTGCACCAACGACAAACTGATCTGTGTGAAACACTAAAAGCTGCACAATTACAAAAGTGAGCTCACAAATGTCCACTTACTTTTGGCAGAATACTTGTTTTCCTTCCTCGCCTTATTCGACTTCTTTAAGCAGCCATCACATACAAAACTATGAAACAGAAACAAGATGGATAAAAACCAAAATCAGGTTTTTACCAAACACCAGCTGGACTTTCACAGAAATCAAACAAATGGAAACAAAAAGGCTATTTACCCTTCTGGCCAGATCGTTTCATTGTGTAAGACGCATATCTGATGCATCTTCCGACCACAATCCATACATTCAACAAACCTGACCACAGGGACAGAGGGGAGGACACAGCTTAGACCAAATCTCTTCACCCCACCACAAAAATTAAATTTGCCCACGACAAAAGGCAGACTTACAGCTCAGGGTCCAGTGTGTCGTTCTTCTTCTTCTCAAACTGATCCTTGCTTATTGATCTAAAACCAACAAAGAGAGATACTGTAAAACTGTAGCAGGGGGAAATTGAAAATAAATTATTGCAAAACACTTAATAAAATCTCTTTCAGGGCCATGCTGAGGAAATTAATTTTGATTAGATTTGAGTGGAATACAGAAATGTTCATTTTCTTTTCTCGTTGACGTATTAAAATCTGCTAAATCAAATATTAGGTGTGGAGTCTACATCCCATGGCTTTGCTGGTAAAGTTTACACCATGAAATATGATTTAAGCACACCTATTACAGTTTCTTTTTTTCCTATAATAGAAATGAACAGTGTAGACTCACACAAGAGATTAACTGGAAAGCATTAAAAAGCATCTAGCATGCTGAAAGGTGACATTTAAGTTCAAAAATCACATTTTATTAACCAATACTCACGTCTGTGGCTGGGTGGGGTCGTCACCCAGGGAAACGGTCTCTCCCTGGATCTCGTTGAAACACTTTTCACAGTAGTGGTACCTGTTAGCAAGAAGCCCAAATTTTGGTGAACTACACCGTTCCCCACAGCACAGTCAACCACAGACAGCGCATGGGAGGGCAGTCACCAAATGGTATAGGACATGGGCAAGGCAGGGTGCCACAAGCCAAGCAAGCAGGAAGTGCAGGAAGGAGGAACGCAGGACAGCAGGGAAGTCGTCACCGCAACAGCCAGTCATGATTGTAAGGGGTGAGGGAATGAGGTGGAGGGGGTTGGTGGTACATGGTGGGGCAAGGCAAATGCAAGCCAATGTTGATATCACAATCATTTGGGGAGGGGAGACAGACAAGTCGTATGGGAACAAGACGAGACAAACATCCAGGACAACACACAGCAGAGAGCCGAGGCAAAGCACAGATTAGCAATTTGGACATGAGAGGATGAGCAACAACAGCAACAACAACAACCACCACAGCTAACAGAGCAGGAGCAGAATCAACAGGAGCTAAATGGGAGCAGGAAGCTGTGGCACAGGACGTAATACAAACACTCAACAGATAATGAACAAGCACAGACAACTGCTCAGCTGTTCATTCAGGAAGTTCATTTTAAAGTCGGTCCTTTCACATTCCGCTAAAGTTTGCATGACTGGACTTAATAATGATGATGACGATGATAATAATAGAAATAATTTTTAAAAATGATCAAGGGAAGATTTTGAAAGTGCGGCATTTATTGTCTAGTTTCTTCCTACTTCAGTTTGCGTTAGCAT